CCCTCCCCCATCACAGAAGAGGCCTGCTGACCCGATGCAGTAAAGCCTACGGCCCAGGACACCCCGTGGGTCGTTCTACAATGTCACGAGGGGTCGCGATGAGTGCGAGTCAACTTGGCGGCACAACACCTCCACTGGGGAGTCAAGTACCCCATTTCTTACAACGTTAAAAAAATACTGCCAAACCTGTGAAAGCCGGAACTTGTGTAAGGCGGAAAGCAGTCAGAGAAAAAAACTGGAATATTTTCCAGTCACAGAGCAAGAGGAGACGGCTAAGACTGCACCCTGTCAAAGGCGGAAACCTCGCGATACCCAGGAAAATGCAGACCTGTGCAGCTCTGCGTCTCCCAGGCTTCAGGGTGTTAAGATGGTGACGGTGTCGGCTGTGTTCCTGAGCGGCTGGGGGCGGAGGGCCCACGCCTGGGGCTCTGAGCCCCCCTTGCTCTTGGCTCCAGGGCCCGGAGCGCTTGCCTGTGCGACCCCAGGTGCTCATCTTCTGGTTACTCTGCTCCTCGGGGCCACCCCGAGGTGTGGCTTGTCCAAGAACACAGTCCCGTCCTCTGTAAGGAGGGGGAACAGAGTGTCTTCCTGAGCGACAGAGTGGAGCTGCGGCAGCAGGGAAATGCCCCACAGTTGTGCAGGCGGGCGGGTTTGGGACCCCGGGGCCAGCGCCACCGGTCCACAGACATCTGAGAACAGTCCTTTCTTCATATGGGTCAATCTGTCTTCATTTGCTGGTAACAGCGTGTGGAAGCAGTCTCCAGCACATTGCCCTTGCCTCCTTCCTGGGAGCTCTTTGTACGCACTCCCCCGGGACACGACCGACCCGCCCCTCGTTTTCTCAAGTGGCTATGTTCCTCCTCCACTGACAGCTGTCTGAGGCCCATGTGCTTTGTTTCCCGGCACAGACGGAAAGGGGATGAGAAATCGGAATTTATTTTGCTTCGTGAATGTTTCCAAACCCAGGAGATGCTGACGTAGGGGCGGCCAATCCCAGCAGAGCCTGGGGAGCCCAGGGAAGCCGCAGGGTGACCTGCAAATGCTGCGCGCAGCGTCCTTAAGGCCTGCGCTCCTGCAGCTGGGGTCCCCTGGCAGCAACGCTTCCGCCAGAGCCGTCAGCCCGCGATTTCTTAAAACGTTTTTAAAAATATAAGCTGTCATCTCTGGTTCCTCTTATGCGCATAAACTCTCTATAGTGTTTATTTCAACAATTAACTAAGTGGGTTGGAACTTTTAGCAGGGTTCAGAGGTGCAATAAACCTGGTGGCATAGTGCCTAAGGCATTTGACTGCTAACCAGAAGGCTGGGTTCAAACCCACCAGCCACTCATCCTCAGAAGGAAGAGATAACTGCCTTGGAAACCCAAGGAGGGGTCGCTATGAGTCAGACTGGACTCCAGGGCCTTGAGGTTTTTTTTTGTTTTCTTTTACTCAAACCGTGAGGAATCGAGCAAGCATTGGGTAGCACCTCTCAGCAACTTTCTGGATCCTCAAAGATCTGGAATCCACCGATGAGACTCACAGACCTTGAAGCCCACGTGATCTTTCCCGGTCATGAGGAGTGACTGCCAGTTTATAAACGCTCAGCTCTGAGCAGGAGGAGAGGTGGTGACAGCCCACCTCTACTTACCAATATGACACCTCGGTTTATTTACCTGATGCCACCAGCTGCTGGGCCGAATGAAGAGGAGGGAATCTACTTCCGTAAAGATTTGCAGCCTCGGAAACCCAAAGGAGGTCGCTGTGAGTCGGATTCCACTGGATGGCAGGGAATTTGGTTTGGGTTTGGTTTTGAGTCTCTGTCAGCGCCCGGGGAAAGCGCAGGGAGCGCACACAGCTCTCTCCAACTCCGCCCCAGAGCAACACAAAAAACCAGGCTCCCCTGGGTGAGAGGAGCAGCGCCACATGTTGAATGTAAATAAATAATAAATCTCTACAGGCCTTTAGAACCTCGCCCCTCCGCGCTCCGAGGCCCCGCCCCCAGCCCCCTCCGTGCCCCGAGGCCCTACAGGCGCCACCTCGGCGCGCAGCCGCGGGGCAGTTAACCTCTCGGCGCAGATGGACTCGTGGGAACCTTTGGAAAATACCATCCCACGCATGAACCCCACCACACGGACGGAGACTAGAGTTAGCAGGACAGCCCCTCCGACTGGAGTCCGTTCACGTCACTCGCTTTTGCCAACACACAGACCCCACGGGCAGCCAGCAAAGCCAATCCCGGCGGGAGGAACCTTGTTGTAGGGGCTGGGGATAAGGTTCTACACCCACAGCCTAAGGCCTGAGTGAGTTCTCTCCCTTGATTGACAGACGCGGCACCGCCCCACGCCCTGCCTCTTTAGCCCCACCCTGACCGCCGATTGGCCAGACCGCTCCCGTCGTGTGCTAATTGGTGGCTTGCTTCTGACTGCGGATTAAAGGCAGTTTCCTGCTCCGCTGTTGGCGTAGTCTCTCGGGAGGGCGGGAGCGCGCGGTTTCTCTGAGAGAGTGGGGGCCAGGAGGCGGCGCGGGAAAGCCGGAGAGACTGACAGGACATGGGGTAGTTCTGCCCTGCCTCAAAACCCTTATAAACCCTCATGAACCCTCTTCCCTTTCCAGCGTAGGAATCTCTGGATCTCCTCACCCTGAAAAACCCCCAAATCCCCCTCATCCTGAGAGACCCTAAGTCCTCTCACCATGAGAGACCTCAAGTCCCCTCACCCTGAGAGAATATGGGTTCCCTTACCCTAAGAAACCTCACAATCCCTTCACCCTGAGACCCCCAAATCCCTCACCCTGAAAGACCTCATTTCCCCTTATCCAGAGAGATTCGAAGTAGCCTCCTCTGAAAGACACCAAGTCCCTTCACCCTTATAGATCCTAAGTCCCCTCACCCTGAGAGACCCCCAAATCCCCTACCCTGAAATACCCACAAATCCCCTCACCCTGAGAGACGCCAAAATCTCTCCACCCTGAGAAAACCTAAGTTCCCTCACCCTGAGAGACCCTGTCCCATAACCCTGAGAAACCCCAAAATCCCCTCACCCTGAGAAACTGCAGATCCCCTCATCCAGAGAGATCCCAAGTAGCCTCACTCTGAGAGACCCCAAGCCCCTTCAACCTTACAGACCCTAAGTCCCCTCACCCTAAGAGACCCACAAATCTCCTCACCCTGAGAGACTTCAAATCCCCTCACTCTGAGAGACCCCAAGTACCATCACCCTTAAGGATCCCAAATCCCATAACTCTGGTAGACCACAAGTCCCATCACCCTGAGAGACCCCAAGTTCCATCACCATGAGAGACTTCAAAATCCCCTGACCCTGAGAGACACCAAAATCCCCTCACCATGAGAGAAAACAAGTCCTCTCACGCTGAGATAACACAAGTCCCCTCACCCTGAGAGCCCCCAAATCTTCCCTTCACCCTGAGATAGCTCAAGTCCCCTCAACCTGAGAGATCCCTAAGCCCCCTACTCTGAGAGACCCCAAATCCTCTGATCCTGACAGACCTCAAGTCCTTTCACCCTGAGAAAGCAAAATCTCTTCATCTTGAGAGACCCCAAAGCCCTTACCCTGAGAGGCTTCAATTCCCCTCACGTTGAGAGGTGCCACATCCTCTCATCTTGAGAGACCCCACATCCCCTCAGTCTGAGAGATTATTGCTCCAGCCTGCTTTACTCAGATTTTTCCAGACTCCTAGGTGGAGACCCCACACCGTCCTCTGAGAACCATTTCCTATTGCCAGAGCAGGACCACTGAGAACCCGTCTAACTCCATGGACCCCTTGGGTTGAGGGGCACTAGAGCATCAGGATGTTCCCCGGCCTCAAGGACCCCCAACTCGCCAGCACTCCAACCTCATGCAGCCCCTTTTCTCCTGTCCCGCATCTGCAGCTGTGGACACACCGCCATAGGGGCAGCGATTGCCTCTTCTGGAACCTTCTTTTTCCACAGACGCTGTGGCCGTGGGCTGGGAATCTAGGGGCCTGGGGGTGCTGTCAGCACCATGAAGCCCTCCAGGACCGTGGAGGGGAGCCCTAGGGGAGACGTGGGGAGCATGGGGAAGATGCCCACGGTGAGGGGGGACAGGGGCATCCAAGGGGAGGGGTGGGAAGAGTCCCAAGGGGGCCCAGAGGGAGTGCCGGGTAGAGGTGGTCCATGAGGAGGGTGGGGGTTGCCAGGGTGAGGGGAGGGGGCTGACAGGGGAGGGGTGCACAGCAAGGAAGGGGAGGGGGCTGTGGGAGAAGCAGGACTTGTCTGACTTTGGCGCCTGCCCTCCTTGGGGAGGGCTAGAAGATGCTCAGAGTCCGCGCAGCTCATCGGGACGCGCTCGGACGGAGGGAGGGTCATGGTCCCCAGCTGTTCCTTGACCAGATGGAGGGACAGGCTGGCTGGACCCGGGCCACATACTAGAGAGCCATTGCGGCAATGGGTCATTTCTCTAGGCCAAGGATGCCTTCAGAGACATCTCCATATACTTTTCCAAGGAAGAGTGGGCAGAGATGGGAGAGTCAGAGAAATTCCGCTACAGGAATGTGAAAAGGAACTACGAGGCACTTGTCACTCTAGGTAACTGGGGGTCCTACGGAGAGGCCTCGGCCCCTGCAGCGAGCCCAGGAAGGGAGTGGGTGGTCTGGGCCTGTGCTGGGCTCTCCCAGCCCATCCAATGGGCCTCCTCACGTCCTTCTTCCTCTCAGCTGTCCCCTCTGAGGACAAAGATTGTGCCTCTTTCTAGGTCTCAGAGCCCCTCGTCCAGCATTCATGTGTCACCGCAGGCAGGCCATCAAGGCCCAGGTGGATGACACGGAGGAATCTGATGAGGAATGGACACCTCGGCAGAAAGGTGAGGCCAGCAGGAGTTTGAGGGGCCACGTCTGAGCCCCTCCTCAGGAGTTGACAAAGGAAAGGGCTTGTTCACGCAAAGACAGAAAAGCTCAGCAAGCAAGGAAGATGCAAAGGGTACCAACAGGAAGAGGCCATTCACTGAAAGTGCCCAAGTGTGTAAATAAGAGTATTTTTTGTAAGGTATTTGTTGTTGTTGTTATGTGCCATCGAGTCAGACCCGACTCACAGCGACTGCTCCTTGGGTTTCCGAGGCAGTATCCCTATGGCAGTGGATTGCCCAAGCTGAATGTGAATAAGAAATACAAAATTCAGAATAGTTGTCCCCAGTAGAGAAGCAGGAAGGGATGGCAGGTGACTTAGCTGTGGCTTGGTTAGTTTTCGTCTTTTTTTTTAAAAAAAAAAAAAAAAAAAAAAATCTGGAATAGAAATAAAAAGATCTGAAGCACTTGCAGTAGAATGTTGAGGTCTCACTGAATGGTAGCAGGAATATAGATTTTTCCAGTATAATTCTCCCTCCTTTTCTTGATGCTTAAAATCTATCATATTTTTTTTAAAGGAAATGTTTTTGCTAAACATTGATTATCAATCAGAGGACAATTACGGAAACCTTAATTAAACAGTAAAACCTTTTTCCAATGTAAGTTTTAGGGTGTTTCCTACTGGATTAAATGTTTTACAAGAGAAAACAATGAATACAGACATGGAGCAGACGTGGAGACACATTATTTATTTATTCATGTTTAATCAACCGCAAGATCGTCTTCCCCAAAGGGAGCCTGGTTTTTTCTGTTGCTCTTGCGGGGAGGGATGGGGGGTTAGAGAGCTGTGCAGTCCCCCTGAGCTTTGCCCATGCGCTGACAGAGAGAGCAGCAGGTAAATAACACGTGTCATCTCCATGAAGTTGAGGTGGGTGCTCCCCTCCCCCCCTGCTACTCCGACTGGCATGTTTATGAAGTGACAGTCACGCCCCCTAAAGGGAAGATCACCTGGGCTCCCAGGTCTGTGAGTCCCATCTGTGGATTTCAGATCTTTTAGGCTCAAGAAAGTAGATGGGAGGTGCAACCCAATGCTTGCCTGTGTGGTTTCGACATAGAGTCGCAAAGATACACATCTTTATGTGAACTCAGTTAAAATCCAGTTAATTAATTTTTAAAATACATCAAAGAGGTACTTTGTATACATAAGACTTACCAAAACAAAGGTTTAAAACATTTTAAGAAACCGGTGAGGTATTAATTAACGATGCTGCAGAAACCATTTCCCCATCACCCTTTGTTAGCCCTTGGACCCTCTAAGCTCTGGCTCATAATTCTGTGTTCCTCCGTGAGTATCCAGAGAGTGTTCACCAAGCAAAATACATTCTGATTTCTCATCACCTTTCAGTCAAACCTCCCAGGGTGGCCTCCGGAGTGGAGCAGAGCAACCACAAGAAGGTGAGTACGTGCAAGTCTACAGACAAGCACCCCTTCCCTGTGGGGCCACACTCAGGTAAGACAGGAGGAGGAACAGAGCCCAGGCCTGCCGCCTCCCCCTCCGGATCCACACAGACTGACACCATCACCATCTCAGTAGTCAGTGACGACAGCAGCAGTAATAGGGAGCACCTGGTCCGTTTCCACTGTCCCAGGCTTTCTTTTAAGCATGTCACGTAAACAAATACTTAACCCTTATCACTTACTAGATAAGTAAGAACTGGAATGATGCAGAGCTGATGTTTTGTCTATTTATGGTAAACATTCTAAGAACATGATTAGCTGACAACCTAATAGATGCATAAAAAAAATTTAAAAGTTGCCACTGAGTTTATTCCCACTCATTACAATCCCACTGTCAAGAGTAGCACTGTGCTCCGTCAGGTTTCTAGTTGCTGTGTCTTTTCAGAAGTCGGTCACCAGGTCTTTCCTCTGAGGCCTCTGGGTGCATTTAAAGCTGCAGCCTGTTAGTTAGTAACGGAATGCTTAACGGTCTGCACCCCCAGGGACTCTACCCAGAGAGCTGTTTCAGTTCATGGTGACCCCATGTCTGTCAGAGTAGAACTGTGCTCCCTAATGTTTTCAATGAATGTGACGTTTCAGAAGGGAATAGCCAGGCCTTCCTTCCAAGGTACCTCTACAGGGATTCCAGCCTCCAACCTTTCAGCTCATACTTGGTGCTTACAACAGCAGCAGTAACAGGTGCCACCCAGGGCTTCTAAATTAGAAGGATAAACTTTAATAAGCCTAAAAGATCTGAAATCACCCTTGGTCCAGACAAGCCTCTGTGTCAGTTAGTTCACTCTCACTCCTGGGTTCGCCATTTCAGTGGGAGTAGAATCTGATCCAAAGCACTGACTTGGTCTTTGACATTTACACACGTTTATAAAGCTCGGGCTGTCCCCAGCGGGGCCGGGCTGGAGTGGAACCTCAGCCCTTCTCTG